CACTGGAGAGATCTCTCTGCTCCCGGGGAGCAGTGGAGTGGCCGTAGGAGGGTTCCAGAACTGAAGGCACGCTGCCGGATTGGCGGGCTCTTCATCCGAAGGCTCTTGGTGGTGCTTGTGTGCATGCTGCGCCGACGACGAGCCTGCCACGGCCGTTGGGGGAACTCGATCTGGCCTCGAAGGCAGGTCGGCCCCTGTGGTGCCTCTTGCAACCGCCTCCTCTGCTCTGTGCGAAGCATCCTCTTTGCCTGACGGGAAGGCTTTGGGGGCGTCTTTTCCCGTCATTTGGGAGGTCGGAGCGATCGTCCTCTTCAGGTCAAAAGACCCCGATCTTCTCAGCTTTGCTTCCCCACGGAAGCAGCAGAGAAAAGAAGAGGAGCAAGAGGAAAGAGAAAGCAGGCAAGGCAAGAAGGAAAGAAGGGAAAGTAGCAAAGTAGGAAAATATATACAGCTGAAACTTAGCTAAGCCTATGCTGCTGCTCCCTAGCGAGGCAGGAACGAAACTGGGGGATGAGCTATTCCGAAGGCGCCAACAGGAAGAGGGAAAAACTATTTCCTGCCTCCCTAAAGGCACGGTGGGAATAACCCATGCAGATGTCCTCCACCTCAGAGGGAGAACTCTGACCAAAGGATGGAGAGCTGCTACTGGTACATCAATTAATGGGAAAGAATACAAATGTCTAAAGTGCCCCAAGGCCCATAGGATATAATGGGGCCGAATTGCCGCCAAAATTCAACAGCAATTCAGCGGCAAGCCAATTCAGATCAGAGAATCTGAATCGGCCTGCAGCAGCCCGAAAGGGGTCCGAATGGGCCATCCCTATTAGCCACAAGGTATAGATAGGAACTCTCAGTCTGGGGCAAGTGATGCTCTATATTCTTGGTGCTTGGTGGGGGGCAACAGTGGGAGGACTTCTAGATTCCTGGCCCCACTGGTGGACCTCCTGATGGCACCTGGTATTTTTGGCCACTGTGTAACAGAGTGTTGGACTGGATGGGCCATTGGCCTGATCCAACATTGGCTTCTCTTATGTTCTTATGTTCCTATATTTGGCCCAGCTGAGGTCAAAATGGCCACCAGCACCAGAATCAAACCTGACTCTACAGGACTGCAGCCTTTTGACCTGTTCCAGGACTCAGCCATTTGGGGTGTTGCTGTGCAGGTTTGGGAATTGGCTTGGGAATTGATGTTGTTAAACTGTCCTCTGCCACTTCTGTCATTTGAAGGTACTCTTATGCTGGCTGTTGTGAAGCCATTACACCAGAGATGCAGCCACAGGTTGAGGAGGAGGGGGCAAGGTGAGAAAAAGACAGAAGAAGACTACATAGAGGTGTTTTTTTTAAAAAAAAAGTAGGAAGAACAGAAACTAACCTTACTAATAGAGTCACGCTAAAAGCAAAGCGGACCTATTTTTGCTTTCTTGCTCTCAAAACAGAGGCAGGAAAAGAACTGGAATGGGGGTTCTGCCCTGGGTGAAGCATATATTGGAAGCAACTTTCTGTCTCCAACAACTCAGAGAAGACCAAAAAAAATAAGATATTCAAAATTATGCCCTCTGTTCCAGATGAGAAAGGAAAAATTCTCAAGATTCTACTATCCCTCTGAAACCATATGGGCGGGGAGCAGAACAGGATGTCAGGTTTGTGTGTACTGTAGTACACAAGCATGTAAAACACTCTCTCTCTTTTTTCAGCTCAAAATCTTTCATAATTTTTCAAGGACTAGTGCTGATTTTATTAGATACCTCACATGAGGTGTGCTCTAGTCCATCAAAGCTTATGGTACAATAAGAATGTAATTCTAAACAGAGTTAAACCACTCTAAGTAATACACTGAAGTAATACAAATCACTGCAAGTCTGTTAGTCTTTAAGGTGCTACAAGACTTTTCTGAAATAAGCTACCACTGTTATCCCCCTAGAAACCATCTTTCTGACTTTTCTCGGGGGGGGGGTAGTAGTAGTAATTCTAACTAAACAATATGGCAGTTAAAGGGTAAATCATCTATATTTTCTGAAGTTTCAAGGGTAGCATGCACATGGCACACACCCACACATTGGTTTATTCCCAGCTGACTCTATTAGGTTCTATGTAAATGTCAAGACAATGATCCCTTGCCTTTTATAAATTAGTACTCCTGCCATCTCATCTTGCCTGAGCATGTACCTGAGTTGAATGCGACCCTGAAGCTTCTTTCATCTACTCATTCAATAGGATGCATTTACCTGCAAGCACACTAATTTTTCTTTTCATAAGTTACTTTTCAGTTTTAGAATGGTATTAGAGAAAGATTTCATTCCAGAAAGAGAAGGTTTTTCTTTGCATTTAGTTCTCGGTTCACATTTAATGTATTTTATTTCCTCACAGGAAATCTAATAGCTACCAAAATGTGAAGGCAGCGAAGAACCTTGATTTGAATAGCTTTTAATACTATTTCTGTTTTAAATTTTTCAGTCAACTTACATGAAACACAACTTTATAATAGTAATTATTATTTATATTTCCTCTACATGCATCTTCTAAAATAGTGCTCTTTGATAGTATGTTAAAAGTACAACATGATTAAAGCTAAGATTGAGCAAAAATACAAATGTTCTTGCTTTAAAATTAAGAAAAATGCTTATACGCATCACAAATTGTCAAAGTAAATGAGATTTTATACACTTCCAAAAGCTTTTCCAGTTTTAAATGTAAATTAGCCCTGCACAGCACAGCCACTAAAATACTAACTCCAATTTAGCTCCAAAGTACACAGCAAGTTTTTCTACTACCAGTTCTGAAAAGGAAATATCTCCAGTGTGTTTGACATTGTGGTCATTTTTTGCGATCAGTGCGTTAGACTGAACCCATGGGGTTAGATACAAAGGTACCCTTCTGTGCACAGAATATGTCATCTACACATGGAAAGAGTCATTCTGTAGTGGGAAGGGCACCTTTAGATCCAGCTCTTTATATGTGTTACCTCCCCTGAACTGGAAGAAAATTATCCCAAACAAAAAATACAGGAACATGAAAAAACTGCAAAAAGAAAAAGAAAAAAAGTAACATGTGACACTGACCTTGTGCTGTGCTTTCCCCTCCCACATAAGAATCATCCAATGTGGTGAAACAGGGGCTCACAGTGTAATGACATCTAAACACAGTGCAAGTACACAACATGTTATGGAAGAGGAGAGAGATGACTTGACATATGACTTCCATTTTTGGCAGCAGCCCTACATTTTTCATAACATCTTGTACCTTCCTTAGAAAACAGCAGGGTTAAGGAGTGAATAGCAGCACCCAGAAGGAGGTCAGGAGAAACAATAAAGATATGATACATGCAATGACTACATGTCATTCTGGTTTTAGCTCCAAACTACAAACTGAAGAAGTAATTTGACATCTCCATTCAAGATGGCTGTAATTACAGCTATACAAAGACTACATTGATTTCTTTCTATAAGCTTTGGAGATGACATAAATGAGCACCAAATCATGAATAAGAGCTTTAAATGCCTCAGATGGGATCTCACAGCTCAACCTTCTCACAGATTTGTGCTATAGGAGTTGACTAGAATACACCTGCTGCCTGTTACCAAGTTCTCAGTATTCACACATGAGCATCTCATAGCTACAATAGCAGCTAAAGTTCTCTGCCTTAAGGGGAACACAGCTCAGATCTATTACACAAGCGGAATTCCCCTTAGGGTTCTCTGGGTTCAAGCTCTCGTCATAACTGTTAAGTTTACATTTTACATGACATTGGTTTATTTAAACTATCTGATATACACAGGTTTTAAGTCTCTACTTAAAAGAAAAATATGCCCAAGAACTAGCAACATTATCAAATCATGGGCTTCTCCAAGAGAAGATGAAAAACAAACACCTGCCACCTTCTCAAGATCCAAGCCAAATACAAAATGTCCACAGCTACTATCAGAAGTCAATAGTAACAGAGCTTCAAAATAGAAAAGAAAGGAAATTAAGGAGATCATATGCAGGAAAAAGCATGCAATACACATGTCGATCATCCAGTATAACATCACACACGTGTTTTTATCTGCATGCACATGCATTCAAGCGTACACAGGGCTATCACACGTAACATGCTGATTGAATCCTTTTTTCCTACAAAAAAGCTTTTTCAATGTAAAAACAATGTAAGCTATGAAACAGCCCTGAGAAACAGGGTTAACAACACAAGCCTGTGGCTATACAATAAGCAGAATAACATATGTAAGCATAATAGAATGGAGTTTAGAAACCAAGGGCCAGGGGGGGAAATAGCTCCTGTCCAAAAAGAAGGAAATATCATGTTGGATGGGTGGCAGTGTTAAACTTTCAGAACAAAAGCTGCAGCACGCCTGCATGCACAATAACTCCCAACTATTATTACAGCACCTCCACTAGGTAGTAAAGCACCATGAAGTCCACATCATGACAAATTTCAGGGAATTAAATGATGAGGAAGCATCAGAAATTTATACATAGAACATTAAACAGCAGAAAAGTGAGAAAGGGGTGAACGAAGTATTATTTTAACATATATTGCATATAAAATAAGATGTCATGAACATTCTAACAAATCCTGTGCTCTCAAGAAATATGCAACACAAACTTAACAATCCTAGAAACCTTTCAGTTTAGATTATGGTACCAAAAGAAATACACCAAGAAACAGTCCAGTACCTACACACAATTAAGGCCCTTTTGCTTTTAATAACATTTAAGAGCACAAAAATTATAATGGAAACCTCAAAATTAGGACAGCCCAGATAGAACATTTTCAATAATATGCAAAACACACCCTCAGCAATATTTCAAATAAATTCATTCAATGCCTATGTCTCTTAAGAATTATTTCAAATGTTAAAGCATATAACTTTGAGCTTTTGATAGAGAAAACCTTTAGTTTTCATTCTGTTAATATCCTCGTAAAGTCAATATAGTGTTACTTAAAGAAATATGTTCAACCATAAGTATTATTGGAACAGAGATGTCAATGAAGACTAACTTACATAGCTCCATTTGTGTAGACTGTGTCACTTCCCTCCACATACTGCACCTGAGCTGGATATACATGCTGTACTTGTTGTACAGTTTGCACTTGCTGAACCTGTAAATATATAAGAATCAGGCACTTTCAGACATGTTTCCCACTTAGGCATTCATGCATCTAATATTAAAATGTGTTTAATCATGGATTGTGAGGCCTACAGGATTTGACAGATAAATCTCAAAAAGAGCAACAAAAGGCTCATTCACCTTGGTGGGTCCATTATTTGTTGAATGCAACATTAAGTGACTGTTTGCATGTATCAGCGATCCATAAAACATTCACCCCAGACAGAACTTGCATGTTACCTGAAGTACAAAGCTTTTAAATGGAATCAGTTTATACATTCAGCTGCTTTTCATCAAATAAAAAGTACATGTATTTGTGAACCAGCCCTAAAGCTGAAGTCACAAAGTCACTTTACTACAAAATAAAGTTCCTTAAAACCAATGGGAGTTATTTTTGTATTAACGTGCTTTGAATTGTGCTTTAATGTTTCTTGTAGATTTGTAGAAAGAAAACAGTTTCACTGGTATTAGTGATGGGCCATAGGTATAGCCATATAAGATTGAGGTAACGAGAGAGGAGGTCCTAAAACTGATAGACAACTTAAAAACTGATAAATCACCAGGCCCAGATGGCATACATCCGAGAGTTCTGAAAGAACTCAAATGTGAACTTGTGGATCTCCTGACAAAAATATGTAATCTTTCCTTAAAATCAGCCTCCATTCCTGAGGACTGGAAGGTAGCTAATGTCACTCCCATCTTTAAAAAGGGTTCCAGAGGAGATCCGGGAAATTACAGGCCAGTCAGTCTGACGTCGATACCGGGTAAATTGGTGGAAACCATTATTAAGGAAAGAATTAGTAGGCACATAGATGAACAAAACCTATTGAGGCAGACTCAACATGGGTTCTGTAAGGGAAGATCTTGTCTCACTAACCTATTAGTGTTCTTTGAGGGGGTGAACAAACATGTGGACAAGGGGGATCCAATAGATATTGTTTACCTTGACTTCCAGAAAGCTTTTGATAAAGTTCCTCATCAAAGGCTCCTAAGTAAGCTCAAAAATCATGGGATAGAAGGACAAGTCCTTTTATGGATCAAAAACTGGCTAATTAATAGAAAACAGAGAGTGAGTATAAATGGGCAATTTTCTCAGTGGAGGGTGGTAAGCAGTGGGGTACCGCAGGGATCAGTACTTGGTCCACTGCTTTTTAACTTGTTCATTAATGATTTGGAGATGGGAGTAAGCAGTGAAGTGGCTAAATTTGCGGATGATACAAAGTTGTTCAGGGTGGTGAAAACCAGTGAGGATTGTGAGGCACTCCAAGGGGATCTGTCAAGGATGGGCGAGTGGGCGTCAACATGGCAAATGGGGTTCAATGTGGCCAAGTGCAAGGTGATGCACATTGGAGCCAAAAATCCTAAATATAAATACACATTGATGGGGTCTGAACTGGCAGAGACTGAGCAAGAGAGAGATCTTGGAGTTGTAGTGGATAACTCACTGAAAATGTCGAGACAGTGTGTGACTGCAATAAAGAAGGCCAATGCTATGCTGGGGATTATTAGGAAGGGTATTGAAAACAGATCAGCCAATATAATAATGCCCCTATATAAATCAATGGTGAGACCTCATTTGGAATACTGTGTGCAGTTCTGGGCACCACACCTTAAAAAGGATATTATAGCTTTGGAAAAAGTGCAGAAAAGGGCAACTCGAATGATAAAAGGGTTGGAACACTTTCCCTATGAGGAAAGGTTAAAGCGCTTAGGGCTCTTTAGCTTGGAGAAAAGACGACTGAGGGGTGACATGATCGAGGTTTATAAGATTATGCATGGGAAAGAGCAGGTAAAGAAAGAGGTACTTTTCTCCCTTTCTCACAATACAAGAACTCGTGGGCACTCCATGAAACTGCAGAGCGGTCGGGTTAGAACGGATAAAAGGAAGTACTTCTTCACCCAAAGAGTGATTAACACATGGAATTCACTGCCACAGGAAGTGGTGGGTGCTACAAGCATGGACGGCTTCAAAAGGGAATTAGATAAGCATATGGAGCAGAGGTCCATCAGTGGATATTAGCCACAAGGTATAGATAGGGGCTCTGGGGCAAGTGATGCTCTGTCTTCTTGGTGCTTGGGGGGGGTCAACAGTGGGAGGGCTTCTAATGTCCTGGCCCCACTGCTGGACCTCCTGATGGCACTGGTATTTCTGGCCACTGTGTGACACAGAGTGTTGGACTGGATGGGCCTTTGGCCTGATCCAACATTGGCGTCTCTTATGTTCTTATGTTCTTAAATGTAGGAGCAGGACCAGGGTACTTTAATCCATCAGGGATGCCCAGCTTAGCCACACTCCCACCCACAATGGAAATATAACCCAAATTGGTTTCCTTTATTAGGTTATTAGGTTATTTAACTTCTCACATTGTGGGAGATAGTAAAGGACATGTCTAGGAGCCATTTTGATGTGTGCCTCCCTTATGAACCTGAAGAAACATCCACCGCATCACCACTCCCTCACAACGCGTTTGATCTTCAGTAGGAAAGTGTTTACCCATCATATGTAATAGCATTTGATAAGTTTCTATAAGTCTGATACTTAGATAAAGATTTTTATCAGTATATGTTTTAACATGTGTACACTCTAATAAATATGTGTACTTTTATAATATACATTGTCAGCTTAGCCCTTTGGTTCATATGATAACCCCAGGACCCCGTTGTAAGGGCACCTCCCTCACTTGTCTAGCAACAAGGACATGGAGTTCAGCAGCAGAGACATTGGTGGAGATGGAAAAGCACCACCAATAGAAGGAGACAAGGGAGGGGGCTTTGCAGGTGGCTGGGCGCTCCCTGTCAAGTGACTGCAATGTCTCCCTCCTCCCCAGCTGCCATTCTCCCTGATGCTTACTGCTGATGTGGTCTGCAGGCTATGCGACCTGACCCCAAAGGGGCACACGACAACAGCACCCTCCATTGTTCTGTGGACACTGGGCATCCTGGGCTCTCTGGCCCCAATGCCAGAGGAGGAACTGACAGAGATGGTGGCCTTGACACCTTTGGGTGCCAGTGCAGCTGGTGCAGAGGATAGAGGAGGAGGCCCCAAGATCACTGGCTCCAGGGTCATGGCTGCTGCTTGCCCAAAGGAGGGGGGAGGGGGCTCCTTGCCTGCTCCCTGGGTTTGAGGCCTGCAGCTGGCACAGTCCATCTCACCCACTTTGTCCTCCATTTGGGCAGCAGTCAAATGGAAGTGGCTGGAGAGCCATTGGGAGTGGTGGTATGAGGTGGAGGGACAGGTGCATCAAGAGACTCCTGCGGAACCTTGCGAAGTCTCTCAGAGGTGGTCCACCACCCTTCCTCCTGCAGTGCCTATGGAAAACATGACATGTGGGGGGGCATATGGCTGTGGTGCCATGGGAGACCTCTGGGCGCCCCAGGTGGCAGTGAGTATGGGGCACCCAAAGAGGCACACCCCCATCTGCTACCAGCCTCCAGCAGCCTCAGCACTTTGTTTGCAGGGTGCCAGCTTCAGGTGCCATCAGGGCTCATGGCTGTCACCCCCAGGGTGGACAATTATCCCCTGGCCTCCCCCAGGGGTGGGGGAGCAGGTTGTCAGATTCCAATTGGGAGACTCCTGGGGATTTGGTGATGAGGCCTGGGAAGCACACGGTCCTCCATGTGGTGTGGACCCAGGGAGTCTTCCATCCCCAGCATCCTTTCCCACCAGTGGCAATGATCTCCTAACTCTGGAGGGGAGCTGCAATTACGGGGGGACCCCAGGTCCCACCTGGAGAATAGCAACCCAAGTAGCCCCCTTCCCAGGTGGGCGCTTGCGATGGTAGTGGGTCCCTTTCATGGGGGCAGGTGATAGGGGAACGGGGTTCTTCTGAGCCACCCCTCTCTGCCCCCCTAGCAGTGATGTGGACTGGACTCTGCCCCTTTGATTCGCAGCTCCTATTGGCTTGCACTGTCCTGCCTCAAAAGAATGCCACAAAGGTATACAGGGGTGGAATCACCATGGAAACACTGCACTAACAGCACCATTGGGGCACCTTTTCCCCTGCTTGGCCACTGCGTAACTAACTCCTTAAGGAGCCAACTAATAGCACTGCAGTTGTGCTGCAGCTGCAGCACTGGCACAGCTCAGGATCGCACGGTTAATCTTCCAAACTAATTAGGCAAACCACGGTCCCTAGCTGCAGTAGGATCTGGAGATGAAACTACAGCTGTAAATATGACTTGACAATTTAGGTATTATGTTAAAACAACTGTTTGCACAAATTGGAATTTCCCAAGCCAGTTCAAACCATGGTTTCTAATTCTGGTGTGCTGAGGAATTGCAGATTAACATTTATCAATTTGGGATATAGCAACAAACCTTCCTTAACCATGGTTTGGTGTGATATCTGAATTAAACTGATATATTTGAGTAATTGCATCCCCTTGATAATGGGAAGTTCTTTTGGGGGGGAAAGTGACTGTGATCAAATATATGACTTTTTAATGCTAACTTCAAATGCTGACCTCTGAAATGAAAATGAAGTTTCCATGTTAATCTACCTTAGCTATTCTAATGCTGGGCACTTGTTTTCAAAGTCATAGCAAAGAAAATTATTCATTCATATCCAGTTTACTATATACTATAGATATATTAAATAAATATTACCCTTAGAGATCATCACTGTTCAGTATCCTTAAAGATAACAGAACAAGTTAATATGAAGCCCTGCCAACAGTTTATTACTCACACCACTTTGGGGACTGGCAGTGAGGACTGCATCTGCAGGGTGAATGATTTCTAGTGCTTCTTGAGTGCTTTTCAGTTATATGTCTCTGCCACTCTAATTGGACCATGTAAAACTGCCGCCAGGGTATTTCATCTCCTCTCTTTTGCTATTGACATGAGCCTTTAAAAGCCTCTAACAATGGATTAATATAAGTTCTTCCTTTGATTCCCTATAAAATCTTGATTTTAAAAACAGTTTGAGTGAAACATGTAGGCTTTGTCATACTGCTAACCCAAATTTTGCGTAGTGTGACCTCTATAGATCA